GAATAGAATATAGAGAATAGAGAATAGAATAGAATACCAGAGTTAGAAGGGACTTTGGAGGTCTTCTAGTCTAACCCCCCCATACCAGTGATGGCGAACCTTTTGGGCCCCATACCCAAAATGCAAGGGGCGCACACCCCCATGCATGCGTGCACACACCCCAAGCATGCATGGCAGAGACCTGAAGACCAGCTGGTTGGCTGGCGGGAGGCATACACATGCGCAGTGGAGCTGAGCTGAGGAGATGGCGCACGTGCCCAGAGAGACAGCTCTGTGGGCCACCTGTGGCACGCATGCCATAGGTTCACTACCACGGTCCTTATACCATCTCAGACAAATGTTTATCCAATCTCTTCTTAATGATTGGAATAATCCAATCTCTTCTTCTCTTCTCTCCTTGACACTTCTACGTGTCAAGACACACTTCTACACACACACACACAAAAAAACAACAACCCCGGTTCTCCCCTCTTACCGTGAGCTTTCGCAGAAGCTACGTTGGTGTCCGAATGGGAACGCACGTGGCTCCGTTTGGGCTTCCCTTGCGGGATCGAGGCCTGTCCCTCAGAGAAACTGGACCGTCGCAACAGCGAGGACTTCCAGCTGCCTCCCAGCTCCCCCCAGGAGGAGCCCGATTCCTGCTTCTGGGAGCTGCTGGATGAAAACAGGTTGGAGGTGCTGCTGCCCGAACTGTTCAGAGTGGCCGTGCCGGATTCTTCGGGGCTGTCGCAGGGCCGACTCGCCCGGCCGAGATTGCCGATGGCCAGGTATTCCGGCCCGTCTGTCTCATCTTGGCTTCCGGACCAGGAATCTGAGTTTGGGTTGGGCAAAGGCCCGGGGCTTGTTCCAGAAGCCGGGACGTTGTCGTCGTCATTGGGGCCAGAGATCCTGAGATGAGGAGGAGGAGGAGGGCCAGCTGGAGGTTGGGAGCACCTGCCTTCCTGGTGCCGGTGAGCGGAAGTCCAAGCGGCATTTTCTTGAGACTGGGTGGTGCCACCGAACGCCGGAGGGCTTGATAATCTCCTGTCTAGGAAGAGAAGGAGAAAGAAACAAGGACGCTGCCTTATTTTCAGCGATGATATGGATACGAGAACATACAGGTGGCCGTCAACGTTCTCGCCCAGCCCAGCCCACCTCGTGGGAAAATAGGAGGAAGGAGTTTTAGATATGCTTGCCACCTTGAGTTAGTTATCAAAACAATAAAGGCAGGATAAATTAAATACGTTCTAAGACGTTCTAAGACCATGATGGCGAACCTATGGCACGCGTGCCACAAGTGGCACACAGAGCCATTTGTGCTGGCACGTGAGCCGCAGGCAAACTTACCTCACTGCGCATGCGCGTGCCTCACAGCTGATTTTGGGGGGCTGGTTTGAGGTCTTTTTCGGCTTCGCTTCCGTTATTAAAGGAAGTGATGAAACGGGCCTATCATTTGGCCTGAAAAGCCTTGCAGAGGCTTTTTCCAAGCCTCTGGGAGGCCGAAAAAGGCCTCAAACTAGCCCCAAAATATCAGCTGTGAGGCGCAGTGCAGGTAAGGGGGTGGGGTGGTAGGGAATTGCATGTGAATGCGCAGGGGGTGAAGGAATTGCATTGCATTCTGGGTGCTGGCACATGAGTGCGTGCGTGCTGGTGCATGCACAATTTTTGGCACAGGAGCCCCAAAAGGTTAGCCACCATTGTTCTAGGATATATTCAAGAATGTTCCTCTGGAGATCCGTATCGGAAGTCCTCGATTTATGACCAGAATTAGGACCAGAATATCCGTTCCTAAGCAAGGCAATTGTTAATGGCAATAGCAGTTAGACTTATATAGCGCTTCACGGGGCTTTCCAGCCCCTCTCTAAGTGGTTTACAGAGTCAGCCTCTTGCCAACCAACAATCCGAGACAGCTTGAAGACTTGTGGACTTCAACTCCCAGAATTCCTCCTCCTCCAGTCGTGTTTAGCTCAGGAATTCTGGGAGCTGAAAGTCCACAAGTCTTAAACTTGCCACGTTTGAAGACTCTTGCACTAAGGAAGGCAATGAATAGAAAATCAATAAAATTTATTTAAAAAATT